ACGTGGAGGCGTCTCTCACCTGCCTCAGGGCCTGCTGAATGTCATCACGTCCTTGCTGGCCACAGCGCTGCTACTGAGCGCTTCCTACGTTGATGTGCCGGACCGCGCTTTCTGTCTCATGGAGCCCAGTCGGTATATGGAATGTCAGTCCAGTCGGTTGTTACAGGGTGCAGTTGTCTGAGGAAGGTGGCCAGCAAGTGCCAAGGTCAAGCATGAGCTCAGCTTCTGTGAGAGCCGTAAACTTAGCAATTGGTCTACAGGCTGGTCTATCTTAAAGGTTTAGGTGGCATCCAGGCGGGCTGCATGGTAGCGCACGGGGGCAAGCCGCCCCCAACCCCCGAACCGCTCAAGCCTGCCCAAGATAAGCCAAGCCAAGCTGCTTTTCAATACTGCACTTGTTCTGGAAAGCGATTGCCGCTTCACAGATCTAAAACGACAAGCTCAGTTATTCTTCTGGTCCTAGTAGTCCTGTTACTCGTACTATGTCACTGCTCTGTTCGCACTACTCTTGGCGACGCCGCTGACTTTTGCTTCTCATACTTTCTGTTAACTACTTATACCACTGAGATGTGACGACTCCTATCACTTGCACTTCTCGTAGGGTTCTGACTTCTCCCTGTACTTTTACTTACTGCGACTCTTGCTCTTACCACTACCACCACTACGAAGTCGCGAAAAGCTTAATACCAGTAGCTGGTTTCCCAGACATATCACTGCAAATCTCTTTTAGCATGCAGAGCACGCACATTTAGAGTTCCTCATTGGCTTACCTCAGTCGGTAAACCCCCAGAGCTTGCTGCAAAAGCACCCTCGTGCAAATTGGACTTCGCCAAAGCCGCTAATGCCCTGCTACAACGCAAACGTGGAGAAAGTCGAGCTCAGCGATGGCTTGCCGTAAGTCGAGGCCCTGCAAAGTAAAGTCCTGGTCCGGAGACATCTCGGAATGAGATCAAGTTTTGAAGAAGCATCGTGATTCTTTCGGATTCGCAGCTGCAGGATTGGCCGATTGGCCATGCAAGGCCCTCTGCACGTTGCAGCAGGAACCCGAACCCTGCAACGGTCAAACGCAGGAATTTCAAATTTAGTTTTCGCAGGCATCCAAGGGTTGGAGACATTTCGATAACGCAGCCTTTCGTGGAATTTGTCGGATTCGCGTTGCAAACGGAAAAACCGAGGTTTTGCAGAGACATTGCAAATTTGGCGCCAGTATTGGGCCGCAGCTGCACATGCATGGGAGCACCCCGAAGGAGCCCGCTGCACAGAGAAAGGATCTGCAGCTATGCAGGCGATTAAGCAGGAAACCAAATCAGTGTTCGAAGCTTTCGTGTTGGAAAAGACTGGATCACACATCCAAACACAGTTGCTAGAGGAAAAGGGGCGACAAAAAAAAAAAAAAACATCCATGTTTGGGGGGCATGCCAGCCTTTCGAGGTTTTCCCAATCGGCCATGCAAGAGGCGTGGCGCGAAGACAACAGGCAACTTCCTGCCCGAACCTAGTCGTACTCGTAGAAGGCAGCTGCATAGGGGCTGCGATCGGGATCGATTTTTGCACTCTCGACTTTGAACGCACCAGGGCCAGGCACCGGACTAGAAACGGGACTTGAAGGTCCCCGAATTGCTTGTGACCACTTCAGGTGGGCGGGCAGTGGTATGGAGATGTACTGCAATGATGACCATTACGGGTTTTGCGGTTTGGTGTGGGTGTAGATGGGGCACCAGTTCGACGGCAAGCTGTTGCGGAGTTGAATTTTGAAAAGTCCTACACTGTGACAAGCGAATGGGGAAAGCCATTCGTTTCGGACCCTTGGTTTGAATTCCACTGCGTGCAGCAAAACAGTCTGAACTGGGGCTTCCCACTAGCTTGCTGCAAAATGGCTACACATGCAACGTTTGAAGCCATAGCGTGCTTCCACGTGCTTACATTGCAGTGTTGTCAGCATTCCTTCGCATTCGTCGTCGTCATGTCATCGTAGTCGTCGACTCCTTTTGTTCTTCCTCCTCTTTTCATGTCGTTGTTCGGAAAAGTCTGTAATCGCGACTGAAAGGGCAGAGCATGACACTCGCTAGCGATTTTCAGGTTCAGGCGGGGCAGTTCCGGAGAGTCTTGGTCTGGACAGGTAGGTGTGCGACAAGGCGGCATATGTGTCTCCTGCCCTCCCTCCCCTCCCCTCCGCCTCCCCTCCGCCTCCCCTCTCCTCTCCTCTCCTCTCTCTCTCTATCTCTCTCTTCCTATATGTATGAAAACACACATACACATGTACGCGCGCACAAACATACATACACACATACGTATGTACGTACCTGCCTACGTACATTCATGCATACATGAATACACACACACACATATATATNNCTCTCTCTCTCCCTCCCTCCCTCCCCTTGCTTCCTCGAGCGCAGGACACGGGTGGACCACTGCAGTGGGAGACTAGGTGGAAGCCTGCCGCGGGAGTTACCCACAAAAGCGTGGAAGTGCCGGCCGAGGCCAAAAGCTGTCACAACATGCAACCAATCCAAAAGAGATTGAGGGAAGCTTGTTACGACTGTTCATCGTGTAAGGCTGTTGAAGTATTCAGACTTTTGACAGACTGGCGATTCAGCAGGCGAGCCAAGCATGGATTGGCGAAACACTCTCGGTCGTCCTGCCCTGCGCATATGCACCCGGATCGCAAACCGGGCAGTGCACCTCTCCACATTCAATGTTCGTTCCAATTAGTGCATAGGACGTTCAGGGACGATGGAAGAATGAAGTGGCAAGAAGCGATCGGTCTTGCTGCGATGACGGAGGGAGTAACCTGGTGGTTTCATGATTGAGGCTGTGGCTTTTGTTAGAAACAGGTGTTTCGAGGATGCACACTGGGAATCGTTCTTGACCTCCCACACTGGTCTCCCTGCAGCCGCTGAGACCGAGGAGGGGGCTTATGCTTCAAGGACTGTGGAATCCGTACCTCAGCTAGCAGTCTGAGAACGTGGCTGTTCAGTATCGTTCACAGTCTTTGCTCCTGTCAGTGTTTGAGATTTTCGCGGTGCTCAGTGCCGCTAGTGATGTCTGAAGCATCGGAATCCGCCATGCCACGCACTCTGCTGAGATTTGGTCGCACACGGCCAAAGACCGTCTGCGGGAGATCATTGTTGTGGACGCTACTTGGCCGCTGTCGATACATGTCGGTACCAGCAGCTGGATCGGTCCAGGTAAGCGGATCCCAGACTGAGCCATGTGTAAATTCCGTAAACCCGTGGACAGAGGATGGTAGCGTCCCCAAGCTGGAACTGACGCTGCCATCACCTCTTCGAGTGTCCTCGGAGGCACTGGGACATAGTCGAACCTACAGTGAACTGTCAGCACCGACAAGGTTAGCTCTTTTGGGAGGATCTTTTCCTTCGCTTGTTAATTAAACAGATTGGATCGAACCACGGTGGAAAAGATATTTAATTTTTGCTGGTGGCACCAGCGCCTTTCCAAAACTGCGAGTTTGGTTGATAATTTCATGCTTCGAGTCTTCGCTATGCTCTGGGTTTCGACTCCTGTCGCCGAAAGGGTCGAGCGCGTTAGGGCAGCCTTTCTTGCTTTCCAGCCTCTATGCAATTGTTTGCTTGGCACTGGCAGACCCCCGGTCTCCGCGGCCAGAGCTCGTCGACTCCGACAATTCGGCTGCTGAGGCCTTGTCGTAGCGAGTTTGAAAGCTTCACGCGTCGGGGAGAGCAGTCCTCGACTCGAACCATGTTCTGGGGCCTGCCTTTCACGCGACCCTATTCGGTCGTCCCATCACTCTTCGCCAGCTGTCAGGCACGAGAAGACCTTGGGCCTCATCGCTGCCAAAAAGACAGGTGGTGATGCTGCGCTCGGTGATGCCACTGGTCTTGCTAGGGACAGTGCAAGAGAATGGAAGGCACAAGATGGAGTGTAGGATGTACATGAGCTAGATTGAAATCCTAGCCGAGTGTAGCCAGCAGGTCCAGACGTCACTTGGAGCGTCGTGTGCTGTGGGTACGCTGTGATAACTCCCTAGGTTGCTCCTTCATCAAACACTAATTTGCAACACTAGACTCGAGGTTATTGTCTTCTTCGATTGCCATGTGAAGCCAAGAGATGGTTGGGAGGCCATCAGCCGAGACGAAAAGCCAATCGTCTTCATCGTCGTCGTAGTAGCAGCAGCTGCAGCTGGATGCAAGCAGCTGCATCTGTAGCAGCATCCGCAGTGGTAGTAGTAATGTAGTGATATGCAGTGATGCTGTGCTGGTGCTGGTGGTAATGGTAGTAAGTGGTAGTACATGGCAGTAGCTGCCTGGAAGTTCAAGTCTCCTGCAAACGCGGCTGCGAGAGGAGAGCATGCAAAGGCGAAGTGAGTAGTGAGGCTGAGGAATGAGGTTTGACGTTTCACAGGTTTCTCTCCGGGCAACTGGGTCTTGGTTTTTGACTGCGGGGTCGTGGGATCGAGTGCTCCTGCTTGAGGGACTGCTGTCAAATGGGCTACTTTGCCGGTTTGCTACCTGCTGTTGTTGCTCCTTCCTGGCCTTGTCTGCCAGCCCTGTGTGCTGAGTGAATCTATTGTCGATGCCGCGGCAGACCAGGCCAAGCCTTCCCCCCTGCTTGCAGGAAGCATTCTTGAAGCAGATGCACCGTGCAGGGGATCATCGAACACTGGTGGTGCCGACGATCACGGCTCTTGACCCGGACACGTGGGAAGAGAATGCAGCTTCGTCCAGCCAAGCATGCTACATGACCTGGAATGCCGACTTTACTTGGCTGCAAAACCCGGGACGGGATGTGCCTGTGATGAGTGGAGGACTGCTGGCAATCAGCAAGCTGTGGTGGGAAGAAACTGGTGGCTATGATGATCACATGATTGCATGGGGAGGCGAGAACATAGACCAGTCACTCCGCAGCTGGCTTTGTGGTGGTCGCATTGAGGTGGCAGACGGGGCTTTCGTGGCACACATGTGGCGTGACCCGAACAACCCCAAGACGCAGTTCAAGTACACCATGCGCACAGAAGATGTCATGCGAAATAAAGCTCGAGCAGTTTCCGGCTGGCTTGGCCCATACGCAAACAAGACGTTCACTTTTCCAGAGTATAATGCCTTTTTCAACGGGGAAAACAGCATCGGAGACTTAAGCAATTTCGAGCAGCTGCGGCAGAAGTTGAAGTGTGCCCCATTCTCTGCGTACTTGCATCGCTTCTCTTACATCTACGTGGATGGTGGATTGATCCCCAAATCAGTCTTCCAGATCCAAGAAGTATCCTCTGGCCTCTGCTTGGAAAGGGAGGCGAAGGAAGGCCGAAGTCATGGAATCGTTCTGAGCCCGTGTGTGGGCGTGGATGGGATCCCTGGCAGGAAGTCGTAGCAAGTGTTCTCGAGGTCTTCCATGCACGGACTCATTTCTGATGTGCTTGTGGCAGTACGACGTAGATGCGGATTTGGGAAGTGTACATCGTCGACGACCACGCATGCCCCGTGTCTTCCTGTTATAGAAAGTTGCAAGCCTTCCCAACACTGCTTTGCTTGCATATCAGGAACCAGGGTGTGCTGGATACCCAGCTCTGGCATCCGGGCAATCGAGACCGGAAGAAAGAAGGAGGCCCTTGCTGTGGCGGCCTGCTGAACTGGAATTTCCTGCCACTTGTTCCCGAGACTGGGTCGAGGGTGGCCCGAGGGCGTCATAATAGTATTATGTCTCCGAAAATCTCCGGAGACCTCGTGTGATCGAAGGTAGCTCTCGACACGCTCGGGTGCAACTCCAAAAAAGCCCTGATGAATACTGTGAACTGTTGTGTTGCGCCTGCCCTTGTCCAAGGCAATGTTTGGCTTCGCATGGTCTTCACAGCGAGCTTTACACCGAAGAGTGTGTCATCTCTGGTCACAGTGCCGTGGCGGTGGTTTTATCTGACAGACTTTCTTTATGCATCGTGGGCCATACGCCCTTGTACCAACCCGTTCACATTCCTCGTCGTTGGTTCCACACATCTTGAACCAGCTTCCCAGTGTCACGCTTGATGCCCGAGGTGTGCACCAGGAGTTCCATGTGCCCGAGGATCGGCAGTCAATTACACGTTTGCCTGCGATCATGGATCAGGGCTGGCTGCACATCTCCTTTGTCGCTTCATAGAAGCCCATTCATCTGTACAGGAGTACCGTAGGAAGGGGTAGCAGCAAAAGTCTGGGGTTGGACACCTTACGACTAGGAAGGTGGTGAAAGTCTTGCGTTCGGAACTTGCTGTGTGGTGAAAGTCGCGCAACCTCACGTGCTCAGACGGCCCCGTTGTTGACACAGGGCTGCCCGGACCGTGAGCGTCAACCGTAGTTGCAGAGCTCCTCGGTAAACCGCGGGCAGTGCTGGAGTATTGCACATCGAAGGCAAACTTGTTCAATGCTGCCAGCATTTCTTGCGTGACTCTTACATTGGATATGTGATGGTGGCAGCATTAGTGTTTTGCGGCTTTAGCCTTCGAGTGGGTCTAGTATATTCTAGTATGATCTAGTAGTACGCGCCGTGGCCGTCGCAATGAGAATTTGCAAAGTGACGCAGCGGCATGGAGCTCGTGCCAAAATTAGACTCTTGCAGCTTGTGGCCGACAATTCCAGACTGCAGAGGGCTCAGGGGCGATGGTGACGTCGATGCTGCTGGTGACGTGTGTTAAACATGGGCCCTACGAATCGGGGGTGGCTCCTGAATCTATCTCACTATCTGTGTGCAGATCAAGACAAACGTCCCGAGATCAAGAAGCATCTCCTAGCATTCGTTGAAACCCTGAGGACGCCGAAGGGCCATTGACTTGGCGCGAAGAGATGTGTGCGCTGCCAGAGGTGAAGAGACAGGCCAGGCCAGGCTTTGCTGCAATGTTTTTGTCGGCAGTTGGAGGAGATTGAAATTTGCCAGGAACAGACGCCGGGAGAGCTGGCACTTCAATCGTGTGCTGTGCGGGTGCAACAACAAGCGACCGGCGGCTTGGATGAAATTCAAGCGCTCTAGCAGCGCTCCCATGGGGTCCGCAGTCCTGGCACAACAAGCTGTGACATGCCTGTGGTGGCCAAGGCTTCGCTTTGAAGGTTGAGCGCGAAGATGGACATCTGTGCGTTACAGCGAAGGTGGCTACAAGCAGCACTGACTGGCACATGGAGTTGGCTCCGTGCCGTGACCGCTCCTTAGAATCAGAAGCCGAACCAAGCAGTTGATGTTGTGCCTAGCATTCTCGTATCTGACGATGAACCTCTCCCAGCCTGCAGTTGACCAAACGATTCCGGCTTGTTGCAATAGGCTACGCTAAAGTACGAGGAGCACCATCCCGGGCTCCTAAACTTACTACCCCGTACCTCTTTTGGTGCGGACGTTGAGCAACCGGCATGTTGCTGAGAGTTGCCAAGCTTGCGGCATCTTGTCCTCAGTTGCGAACACTCGATGCCTGCCGGGCCTCGCGCATGGCTCGAGGCGTCCTCTTACCCACCATGCTTCTCGACATTTCTCGACCATTTCGGCACCAATGAGGGGTGGCTTCCAATGCACCTCGCTTGGGCAAGGCGATCTCGCAACGCCCACCACATAATAGTGATCCTGCAGAGTGCTTTACATCTACCATTCTCCTCTCTTCGTCGGGACCTCATAGCTTGCCTTCAGCGGCCACCGCAGGGGTCCCACCGTTTCTGCTTCTGCAAATGAAGGTCCGGTGTCCACAGTTGTGTGTGGCTTAGCTCCCGCACCTCAAGTCGCGACTTTGATTCAGAAGGCTGACGTTGACCGTTCATGCGTCAAGTTCACACGTGTATGTGTATATGTATAATTATGGTTATTATTATTATTATGATTTACACACATGTATTTATACATACATGCTTGTGCTTGGTGATACGTGGGTTCCTTGCTTACATGGCATCCCCACACACCTGTGCACAACCAGCTTTAACATGTGCGTGCATGTGTGTGCGCGCTTGGACACCAGAGTCGGTGCCTGAGCCAGGACGACGACAACTTGCAGATCTTCGTGGCAGAGAATCTTCCAGATGAGTCAGTGAGAGTGAAACTGCTGAACACGGATTTGTGCTTGGATTCGTCAGCCGGCAATCAGCTGGTGCCATATCCGTGTTATGCAGACAGCCAGGAGAACCCAAACCAAGCCTGGAAAATTCAAAGGTCGCGCTTGGTTTGGGAAGACGCCATCCAAAGTGTTTGTGTCGATGCGCCAGTCCCTCCTGGTAACTTGAGACTTCGCAAGCTGCCGCCACAGCCGATTTGGACACTCGCTCCATGTGTTGACAAAGTCGGCCAACATTTACAGAAGGAGGACATGAAACCTGACGGGACGTTCTTGCTGAAGGATGCGGACGCTGGAAGGTGCCTCGCTGCTCGCAAAGTGCTGTCTTTGGAGACTCCGCTGGTACTGGCACCTTGCAATGATCGGCAGCGCTTTCGTGAGCTGAAAGAGCGGAATCAAGTCCAGCATGTCTCCACAGGCTACTGTGTTGATGCTGGCAATGATGCACCTATTCTGTACCCATGCCATGAGCCCAGGGCACTTCGGAAACAGCGTTTCGAAGTGAAAGACACACCAGGTTGGCTTCAGCTAATGAGAGGCTGGGAGGATAATGGCCGTAAGCGCTTCTTTGAACGCTGCTTCGACCGCCAGCCACAGCCACCGACGAGAGTCGTGCTGCGCAAATGCGAGGAGGTTGAAGCCAAGGGCGTGAAATGGCGACGCATCAACTTCCAAGAGCTCTGGCCGTTATTCAGGGAGGCTCTGAGTTTGGAGTTCCTGTAATTGAAGTCTGAAGATTGAAAAATCTTGTACTGTCGAAGTTTATTGGACAGTAGATCGTCGGCTCATGCTGGCTTCTGTTTTTCACAAGTAGTATCACGACTCGATGCGATTCGACTTGTGCGGAAGCGCAGCCGAAGGACACGCCTGAGTGGCATCTTTGGCGGAACGCTCCAGTCCCAGAGCAGCCACTGGGTGGTGATCTGCCACCGAAACCTTGAGAAGTGCCAAAGCTAATCGATCTTTGTTCGTATGGGGCTAAAACGGCAGCTTTCATGAGTTTTCTGCTTGTTACAGTAGGGCCTCTGCCACAAGGTGCTGGCAAGACCATGCTAGGCCGACCACGTCCACTTTGCTCTGATTGTCAAGGAGGCATCGCCATGGAGGCGTCTTGGAACCATGTTTAGATTTCACAAGAGACAGTGGAACGCCAGCATGCAGGCTTGCCGGTGGGAGCGCGCTCGAGGTCATTCGAGGTCATGCGGAAGATTTGCGGTGGAGAGCGTCTCAAAAACGCGGTCGTGGCTCGCGTCGCACATCCAAGCTGATCGCTGGCAGTCACTGGCCGACGCAGCTCGCGCAGCTCGGGCGGCCCGGCGAGTCGACGGGCCGGATCCACCACACCGTCCATGAGCTTGAAGGGCATGGAAAAGGGGCTATCGAGACGCAGCCCTGCCGTCAGAGCAAGAAAAGAGTTGCGGATCACAGCATAGTCAAAGAGACCTGTATGTGGCACTTGTCTCCTTTGATGGCCAAGAGGGCACTGCAGTGCAGGCACATGGTGTGAAGCTCAACATGTCTGCTGACGTGTGGGTCGCTTAGACGGCCGCGTGTGCCGTTGGCTTATGCATGATGGCAGTGTTTGTGTTCGCATCATTGTGAAGAGAGACTTCTGCAAGGCTCCACGGCGATGTGTGGACCCCGGAAGCCTATGCTGCAGGCCAGGGAGCACGTGTTCTTCAGGTCGCATGTGTGTCGTTATCGACCGTGCCCAGCTTTTCCGCTCATAGGACTTGGTCGCTTGTGACCTTTGACAAGGGGTGACACCTGCAGGAGCAGTCCTAGGGAGTCGTTCTGCGCAGCCTGGAGGATTCATCGGCACTGACATGGCTCGGGCCAGCTTCCGACGATTGCTGCGAAGTTCCGGTGTGACATCGAGCTTTGGCCTTGCAAGGTTATGGTAGCCGGAGGTAGCGTCATGTGTCGTTTGCCTGTTTGAGCCTTCCATCCGAAGCGCAGCAAGCCGTCACACAGCTCGTCTCAAGTACATATAATCGTTTGACGAAGGATGACAAACGGCTTCGTGTTCGTGGAAGCAGTTGGAGAACTGGGCTCTGACCTGAGGCAGGTGCCTGAGATTCACCTGTCGCTGCCTGCTTCATGTAGTCCTGCAGTGTTCTTATGATGCTTCTGAAACCAGCCGGGTGTTGTTCTAGTCGCCGCAGGGCTGTCTTACAGTACCGGATGCTGTGCTGGAGGTGTCATGGTGCAGTGCACGGCGTACCGGGTCTGTGGCACGTGCCGGGTCTGAGCTTCAAGTGCAGAATCACCGACATCCAAACTGCATGAGTTGAACGCCGTGCTGACAATGATCAGATGCAGGCCACAGTTTGTTGGACAAGACAAGAGTGAGCAGCAAAGATTATGCTATTGCTGTTGCTCATAGTCTTTTGGATTGCAGCCCGAAATATAAGGCCTTGGTCGACGAAGCGCACAGTTTCGTGGATGAATTATGGAGCAGTACTTGGTGGGGTTTATTGTCAGATTGAAGTGTCGGGCAAGTCTGGGGCGAATGAAGACGATCGGTTACCGGAGTAGTCATTCAGATGCGTCCGTTGAGGATCTTGAGGGTTTGCTAGGCGCAGATGAGAGGTTCTTGTGCAGTCTTCTCGTAAAGTCTCGCCCCCGCCTGCCTTCGTTCTTGGGGCTGCAGCGTGGCCGTGCAGCAAAATGATCAAGAGCATCTCTCCTTAGGCTTGCTGTTGACTTGACCTTGAATTTCACAGAGTTCGACAATCTGGAAGTTGTGCAACTTAGAGAAGGTGGACACCAACGAGCAGCAGATCTGGTGTCGCATGTGCTGACGGGACCTGGCCGAGTTTGCCAGGCTCCGAGCAGATGGAAGGGAAGAAATGAAAGGCAATCCTTTCGAGTATCTCACTTCCGTGCAGGCTGGTAATATGACGGAATGCCCGTTCCAAGCTAGTTTGGCCTTAGGGCTGTGTTGTGGCAGAGGTCTTGCATGAGATGATAGCAGGTTGCTTGTGACCAACACCTTAGCTCGACCTCACTCGCCCCAAGCGCTTTTGGTTCGGTTCAGTCTCTCCTGCTGGACCGTCTTGCCTTATTCTTTCGGAGGAGCCGCCAAAGTGTGCCTGCCTCAGTTGGCCGTTCTGAGTGCATGAATTCTCGCGCTTCTGTCGTGTGCAGTTAACATAGTAGCTTGTGCACGTTATTTGGCGGAACCAGATCTGCGATAACTAACCAATTTCGAACAGGTCTTGCAGAAGTACAGGATGCAAGTTCCGCCTTGCATCGCTTCGAGCCAAGGCCCTTGCCGCCGCTGTGAGTGCTGGCCAACGCATGCGTCGCCACGACGACAAGTTAACTTCGCGGGCAACGCGAGGGACGAGTTCAGAAAAGCTGGCAATGCTTTGTGCATAATACGGGCTATTCTTCCCGCTACATTGGATAGTTGTGGCTCAGTTTCTCCACGTTGGCCTCTGGCTAAGGTGGGCTGCATGTCGCCGAGAACGGCAATCAGAGGGCCCCTGTCTCAGTGAAGCTTTTTTTGCAAAGTTCAACTTCATGAGTAAGCTTCTTTCTCCGTCAGCCTGAAAATCAGCGCTCAATTTCGGCAGCCTGAGATTACTGTCGAGGCACAGTCCTTTGACCTCGCAACTTGTTGCGCTACGGCAACACAGGCCGCAAGCAAGATGCACCAAGATCCGCTTCGCTTCACTTGTCCGTGCCGACCATTTGCGCTGTTGGCCGCTCTTGGCTTGGTCTGGACGGTCCAGCCGCCTCCAGGCTGTTGGATCCATCGTTCTTGGCTGCGAGCCGCAGGTCGTCCGCGTAAGTGCTTGTAGCTTGCTGGCCATGTTGCACTGTGAATGTGAAATTTCGTGAAATCCTGTGCCATCGCCCAGTGCAGGTCTCATGCGACACGGCTTTTAGCTCGCTAGCTAACACATTCTGGGAGTCGCAGTGGAGTTATGCCAGTCTCATGAGGAGCTCGCTTGTTTTCTCGGCAGTGGACGCCTTAAGCTGCTTCCCAGAGTCAGTGTTCGATGGCATCAATGAGGAAGAGATGGTGTTAATATGAGCGAGTTTGAAGATGATTGAAGCAGAAAAGCGTGTTTCCTGATCTGCAATGCTAACCAGAGAACTAGACCGCTGCGCATCATTTCACCAAATACCGTGTTGGATGAGGCTATGCCGTGAATCGTCTCAGGGCTGCGCACTCGGAGCTTGTGTTTCGAAAGTTTACTGCATCCGGTATCCGTCCACCGGCGTTGACTGCTCAAAAGTTTGCGCCAACTCAATGTTTCAAGCCCCAGCTTAGTCTTTCCTTCGGTGGGGCAGCCCTAGGCGTGAGGTATTCCCTATTGCCAAAGGGGTTCGCAGGACAGAGCCGTCATCCCGCGTGCAAATGACGACAGTTCTGCAGGCTCCCATGCGGATCGATGCTATGAGCCTCCGCCCCAGGACGTGTTTGAAATGAATTTTGGTTCGGGGAACTTCAGGATCGGGTGGTGGAAGCAGTCTCCCGGTCGCAGGGCCGGTGTTTGCTTCAGCCTCACAACATTCCGATATGTAGAAAGGGCCCACGGTGACAGGGATTTGTTCCACATGTTTAGTGGTGCCTAGTCTATCGCGTTCACGCACTTGAAGCTTCAATGCTGATGCACTCTGCGCCGCCTGCCGGGCTGAGGGATAGAATTCTTGTCCGCCTGCCGCCAACTGTTGTCGTGAAAGGAACTCTTGGGGAGAACTGCAGTCTTTGGTAGCATTTTGGCTGGACGTTCGAGTTGTTGCGATCCGAGACGACGAGCTCTTCATTGCAGACACGGACAATCATCGGGTGCTGCGGTCGTGGCCTCAACAATCTGCACGCACCGTTATGGCAGCCCCTAGCAACGACAGCATGGTGTGCCAAACAGGATCAAACAAGAGAGACGAGTTCACATCACAACACTCACCATTGGCGAGTCGTAAACACCAAAGCAATGCCCTCATGAATCCCGAAGTCCTTTTTTCGTCTGCTTTTTGTTTTGAGAGGATCTGCCCACCAACGAGCCCATCTGAAGCACTTGCCAAGATTCCCACGCGGGTGTGGCGCAGAAGCGCGTTAGTCCTCCGCGCTTCCGAGGGTCAGCACAAGCCCGAGCAATTCCTCAGTCGAGGTGCCGCACTCAGAGTTCTGTGATGTGCTTTTCCCCTACTTGCGACTCCCTTCTGTCTGGCCCCGCCCTGTCGCGATGCCAAAGCACATTTGCTGTTGCTGACTGTGCCTTCCGTCTGTGGTCCTCTCAATGTTCTTTCATTAGTTTCCCCTATGCTCACTGCGGATGGCTTGTTTATCTAACTGTGCCCTGTATGCTTTATTAGTCACGGTCCTTGTTGTTGTTTCTCGCTCTTGCCGGACAAGGACGACGGGCATCCGTTGCGCATTCTGGTTTCGAGCGCACAACCTTGGGAGCCAGGAGATCGAGGGTACTTCAGCAGCTTCAGCAAAACCAACCCCTTAACTCCCGTACAACTCATGCTACATGCTACATTCCGTAGCAGCTTGCCCGGATCGTGACGCTTAGTCGCACTGCCAGGTAGTTGCTGGCACTACAGGCATCGTGCGCGCACTTAGCCTTGGTTGACTTGCTTGGCATGGTAGGTGAAGCCACCATGCATTGCATTTGGTCTGGTGCGTTGTTCTAGTGTAACTGCGAGAACAGCAGCCTGGTTACAAGACGGGTATGCTGCGTACTTACTCGAGCCCCGGAGTTGCTTCTGCTGTTGACAACGACTTGAGTCGACAGCCTTCGCCACTTTGCTTGTTGCATCGGTGCTCCAATCGTTACGTTTGCATGTATACACACACACACGGCACACATACAGATAGATAGCTAGCTAGATAGGCACGTGGGTAGGTAGCTAGGATAGCTTAGACATGGAGGCGCTGCGAGAGTATGCCTTGTCAGATTTTGCATACTTACAGTAAGAC